AGCTTTCTTACTACTTTGTCTATTTTCATATCACAAATATAATTTCTATTTAACTGTTATTTTTACGTTAATTAATTTCATGGAATTTTTGTACTATATAAAAATTTGTTTTTACAGAACAACTTAAAAAAAAGTTACTTTCACGTAATTATTTTATAATCATTTTTATAAAATGTTGTAGATGTCCAAACCACGAGAAATTATTACATGCGGAGTCCCAACGTAGCTCGGGTCCGGACTCCAATAAAATGAAGCCACATGGCTTGTACACACTCTATGTACAACTTATACACATTATATGTACAACTTGTACACAAGGTGTGTATAAGAGGAATTTGTACATAAGGGTATATATATACACTCCACATAACTTCATTTCGTTGGAGTTGGGACGAAAAGCTATATCAGGACTCTGCACATAATAATTTCTCTCAAACGTACCCTTAATAACTACACCTCTACTATAATAGATCATGCCTTAGCCTCTTTATTTTATTAACAATATCCTCTCTTGCAAATGAAAAAAATGAAATGAAATGAAAGCCAGCAGCTAGGCCTCTGTGTTTTTCTCCTTCATATTAATTTTTAATAGTCCGAGGTTGACACCAAACCAAAACAACAAATAAAATCAAATATTTCAGTAAAAAAATATCCATTCTAATATTCTATTTTGGCAACTTGCAAGAGAGATTTTGGCGAGCTTGGTTGCTGATGTAGGTCATGGCAATCAACATCTCAGCGAATAATTTTCTACAGGATATTCATTTTTAAAATTTTGTGCTGCTATAGTTTTTAGACATATCTTGTTGATGATGATATCATTCATGCTTTATTAAATAAATATGGCTGATTATATTGGTTGGATGATGTGAGGGATTCTGGAGAACATATACTGCATGATTTTCTTTATATATATATTGCATGATTTTCTTGAGCTTAAAAGAAGGGAGGAATGCTGATAGAAAATGATTTAGAAAATTAAATTAGTAATGCAGGTTACCGGCCATAAATTCAAGTAGGGCTGCAAACGAACCGAGCTGAGCCAAGTATGTGAGTGTTCAGGTTTGTGTTCATTTAATATCAGCTTGCTCAAGTTTGATTCATGTTTGTTCGAGCTTTATGTTTGTGTTCATGTTTGGTTCATTTAAATTAATGAGTGTTCATGTTCAGTTCATGTTTGTTCGTTTAGTGCTTATCGAGCTTGTTCGCGAACATATTTAACGATTTTTTTAACTATCAAACAGATACGTTCATGAACATATCTATAAACAAACACATTTATAATAAAAGCAATTGTCTATATAACAAAGACAGTGATTATTTATATTTATTAATTTTATAGTCAAATATTAATTATTTTTATTTAGCTTATTCACGAGTTCAAAATCGAACATGAATCAAGCTTAATGTCGAGCTTGTTCACAAACTTCAAATGATGTTGTTCGCGAACATAAATGAGCCGAACACATTAGTGTTCAAGTTTGTTTATTAGTATTTAAAATATTGTTCAAGTTTGTTTGTTTAGCTAATTAAAAGATCACAAACGAGCTTTAATCGAACCGAACAACGAGTAGCTCGTCGAATGTTTGGTTCGCTTGCAGCCCTAAATTCAAGGAAATAAATGTGAGAGCTTTTGGTGCTTTTTTTTTTTCCTTTAAATTTTATTTAGGACAATTTCTTATTTCTTTCTACAATAGGTCTTAAGTACAATATTTATTTGAAAGTAGAAAAAAAAGTGGAAAAAATTATTCCAAATAAAACCTTAGTTTTTATGTGCAAGAAGCTTATTTCTTCATCTTTAGTCTTCGTGGCATCATTGTAAGAGAAAAAAAAAATCTTCTTACTAGAAATGTAAAATGAGTAAGGGGAGAGAGAGAAAGAGAGAGCAAAAAGTGATTTGAGAGTAAGATTTCATTTTTAATATTTAGGGCATCCTTGGGAGTTGACAAAATCATCCCAATACGTTGCCAAAAAATAGATTTGATGAAGCAAGAATCTCAATGTATATTATAATTAAAAAATCTTAGAATTAAATTCATGATCGTTAGAATTTTGATTTCCATAAATTTATAGCTGAATTGAATGTCATGATGAGATAAAACCAATGATGTTAAAAGTGATATGATCCAATAAAAATTAGTCTAAGCCGAGCACTTGAAGTGTAGCACCATGATTTTTGAATATTTCATGCATATAATCAAGTGAACTATGTCAATAAAAAAAATGACGAGTCTAAGATCACTAGATTCCAAAATAAATAAGAAACTTAAATGTTAAAAAAATGATCTATAATCAAGGAATTAAATATGAGAAGTTCAATTAAGTGTTTTGTGACTTTTTGCCAAAATAACAAAAATGGTATTCAAGAAAATTATAAATATAGGGGAGCTGAAAGATTTAAAGAAACATAAAGCTCTACTCAACCACTACTATTGAATCACCAGCACATTTGAGTCGTTTCCACCTGATCTGAGATGTCTGACTTTAGTTGCCCAACCTCTACCATTGAAAGATCATCACTCAATGACTATTGTTAGATCGGTGTGACCTTTTTGCCTCTTAGTCATCACTAACCGACCATCATCACCAGACAACCATTATCAAATCTTTATTATTGGATTGTCACCACTCAATCATTGTCATTGGAATGTTGCCACTTGGCCACTAATGGTGGACCTTCATTATTTGACTATTATCGCCCAAATAATATTGTCAAACAAATGTTGTCCAACTTTCAGTGGCTGACCAATGACATTGGACTGGCGCTGCATGCCTCACCACCATGATTAGATCATTATCACTTGACCACTATTATTGGATCAGCATCTCCCAACCTTCATCGCCTGGCTAATGTCGTTTGACTACCTTCATTCAATATTGTTGTTATATCATTGCCATCCAACTAACATAGTTGAGCCACTCTCAGATCATCGCAGCCTAACAACCACAGTTGTATTACCATTACCTGACCTCCAACATCAGATTGTCATTGTCCAATTATTATTGTCAAAGTGGCACTAGACCATCTGTGTTGGACCACTCCTGCCCGACCAATGTTATTAGATAATTATCACTTAACCATTATCATTATAAAAGTACCATTGGATCAATGCCGCTAGACACTATTTCCAAACTACGATCTTATAATAACCATCACTCAATTATTTTCTCCCTACCTCCTTTTCTCAAATAAAGCCTACCTAACATCCATTGATTGGATATGATTTTTTATTATAATTATTTATTGTTTATGATATTTCGAACACGACTGCCCAACTAAGGTCACTCGACCATTGTTTCCCAATAACAATTTATGGGCTATTATTATGAGCCTACTGCTGCTAGACTATAATCACTCGACCATAGTTGCTTTATTATGATATCTCGACTACAAGTACTTGATAAGATTTCTTGACCACGAAAGCCTAATTATGATCTCTCAATTATAGCCCCCTTGATCTCTACTTCATGACTATTGTCTCTTAATCAGTAATACTTGTTAATCTTTCAGTCGTCATATCTTGATTATAATCTCCTAACCACTGTCATTCAAATATAGTCTTCAGACCACAATCTCCCAACTATAATTTCTCGAACTGCGACAGCTCCATATTTAAATTGAAAGAATTATATATTTTAGAACTCTTAATTAATCTACTAAAGCTACTAATCTCATTTCAATAAATAGAAACTAGTGAAAGAAATTATAAATTATTTTCTATCATGTACAATTTCATTTCCCCCCCAAAATGCATATACTAACCAGAAGATTAATCAATCCATCATTCTATCCTTCAAGACTCTTGACTGCAAAAGAGTTAACCAAAATAAAAAAAAAATAAGAGAAAACATGGAAAAACTTGATCTATCTCACTTCACTGGATCCTAACTTTTTTTTTTTAAAATATGTAAAAACTATGGAGTGATCTAACATCTTAGTAGGTTACAAAACCTACAACTGCAATCAATGTATGACAACAGAAGCAGTATGCATGTAATCATCCAATCAATTCCAGTATGAATATATATTATAAAAGTATGTTGTAACCAATGTGAATAGTATCATCTCATATAATAATTGAAAATTTGATGATTCATAATTAGTGCTCAGTGGTCATATAAATGATCAATACATGCTTTCATTTTCTATATCCATTAGTTACAAACTAGTTCATATTCAATTTTATATAAAACAATTCACCTGTTATCGATTACACATTTATCATGCCACATCTATCATATGCATGCATATTATGTGCACATACATTATTCTTTTTATCAAATGAAATGTATTAGTTATCAACATTATCAATCTTATCTGTAACATTATATGCTGGTTTGTGTATGCATATCTTATGACATCAATATCATATGTAATAAATATCATGCATATCATATAGTTCATGTATATAATGTTCCCTTATATCAATTTTATTAGTCATATCATATGCCTATGTATATAGACCATAATCTCTTTAACACAATTTTAATATTAGAGGCTCCTCCAACTTCAATTCTTAAAATGGAAGATTGCAACAATATGCTGAGCTAAGTTCAAGCAAATTGAAAGCGATCAATTTATGATAATATTTCAACTGAGTTTAATTTTTTTTTAAAAAGTGTAGGTATGTACATATATGATTTATATTAAATTGAACTAATTTTAATTTTTTTTTAAAAAAAGTGTAGGTATGTACATATATGATTTATATTAAATTGAACTAATTTTAAAATGAATATATTTAAGTTGTATCTAATCGATTTCTATTCGAGTCATTTAAAACTCAATGATTATCTTGATTATTTTTGAAGTATCTTATATGATAGAATAAGTTTATCCCCTCATACATTATTCATCATAAAATCAATAAAATAAAAAATATCTAAATAATTAGACAAAAGAATAATGATGATATGATTTTTTTTTTATTTATTTTCGAATAAAAAATAATATAATTTCCCTATAACTCATCATTAAAAATAATAAATCTAATATTTTCTTTTTTTTAATCCTTCCTTATTATTTAATTTTCTTCCCATCAACAGGGAACCTAATCAATCTTCAAGATTTCTTGACAGCGCATAGAGAGACCAAAACAAAAACATAAGAAAAAATCCCACCAAACTTCAAAATTCAATTCCACAAGGTCGCCATTGACCATAAATAAAGAAGAAGAAGAAGGAAAAAAAAAAAAAAAACAAGAATAAAAATAATCAAAATCAGAAATTTTTACACCTAGGATGCCTCCATGAGCGTCTCATTGAGCTCATCCACATCCCCATTTGCGAACAGTTCCCCATCCCTGTCTTCATCACAAGAAAAATCTCTTCTTTCTAATCTCGCCTGCGCCGCCACAAAGATCATCTTCTGCGCTCTCTCCATAGCCGCCCTCGACTTCCCCTGCCGCTTCAGCCATCTCAACAACGAAACATTGCATTTGAATCCGCCGGCCGTTGCGTGTAGAAAGATCAGTCTAACGGCTATTTTTCCCAGCGTTCCGAACTCCTCGCTCAGGCAAGTCTCCCACACAAGCCGACTACTTTGCGGATTCGCAATCTTCATCTTTCCGGTTGCCGAATCGAGCTGCTTCACCTGTACCGCTTGCGCGTAGATTGGATCCAGACCCTCTGATCTCCATTTCATGAGCTCGTTGAGGACGATGTGAGCTTCTTCGCGAGATGCGAGCCTTGTGATTAGCTTATCGACGTCCTTGTCTTGTTCTGGTGTTAGGCATTTGTAGGGCGGGAGGTATTTTCCGCTTGTGTCCTTGATGAGATATAAGGGGTCGAGTATGAAAGCAGCCGACCATGCTGGGTGGTAGTTTCTTTTAAACCTTTTGTCAAACACATTGTGGACGGCCGTTTCATCATTGCTGTACCTGGCGCACCAGGCCTTGATTTTGGATCTCATCCCTTTCCAGAGAGGAAGGCATTGGCCAACAAGTGGCCGATCGGTTTGCATGTCTTGAATCGTGTCGTTGATGAGCTTGACGAGAGAGTTGGCGGCTTGGACGTCGTTCCAGAATTTCATGTCGAGGAGTAAGTCGGCGAGTTGCGTTGCTTCTGGGTTATCGAGGCAGAGGAGTTTGTAGGAGTCATCGTGTACAGTGAGGTGAAATGCGCGGGTGGAGGATATGACGTCTTCGATCATGAAGTTACAGTCAATGCCATTTGAGTAGCGAAGAAGGCTGGTGTGATCGAGTTCCTGCGTTTGGTATTTGTGGAATATGGTTCTTGCGGAAGAATTGTTGTTGAAAAAAGATACGATTTTGGAGCATTTTGAGGAGACATCATGGAAGAGGGAGAGACCGCGGGTGAAGTCTTTGATGAGGCTGCGGAAGCCCTGGAGAATGCAGGAGAGGTTTACCATCCAGTGATGCTGGTCTTCGAGGCTGCGGAGGGCGGTGGATTTGAACCTGTCGGAGACAATTCCGGCGCAGAGGGTGGTGGCACCGCCACCCTTACCGCTGCCAGATGCGTTTATAACCGAATCCCAAAGAACGTCCTCGGCATACTTGCATGGAACGCGACCGTCGGAGATGAGTGCACGGCGGAAGACGGTGGTTCCGTTGGGGAGATTGACGGTGATAGAGACAAGTGAGTCGCCGCAGTCAGAGTCGGACCTAGATTTCCAGCCGTCAGCGGCGACCTGAAAAAACAGGGCATCACGAATACGAGCTTCGGCGTCGGACCGAGCCTCTTCGTATCGAGTATCGAGCCGGGTGCCGGCGAGATCGCGGTAGGAGATCGAAGGGAGGCCGACTTGTTGAAGAAAAGCACGAAATTTTGGATGCTCAATGGAAGAGAAGGAGATCACGCCGGCGCACTCGTAAAACCAATCGGAGAAGAAGGAGAAAGCGGCGTCGGCCTGCGCTTTAGAAAGTGCGGGGTTTGGAGAAGCCATAGGGCTCTTCAGCTTCTTTACGCTATCTTCAAGCATTGCGAGCGCGCCAAGGTCGTCTTTCCCGCCGGAAAGCACTAAGTTTGCCTGCTGCGGGGACGGATGCGGAAGAATGGGAGATGTGGATGGAGACGAGTAAAGGGCTTCGATTTGGTATGGATTGCAGGAGCGTTTGCGGGATGAAGAGGAAGGTGGGAGTGAAGAGATGGGCTTAGGCTGTGGGTGATGGTGCCCGTCGCCACCGCCGCTGCCGGCGCCAGCAGAAGGGGAGGAGAAATTGGGGCAAGTTCCTCGCTTTAGGTGCTCTGAGGCGGTGCGTGAGGGGTTTGAAGCAGAAAAGAGAGCGTCACAAAGAGAACAGCGTAACTTGACGACTTTGGGGACACCAGAATCGGAGGTGCAGATTAAGACAGGTTCGAGGTGAGTCCAGTACCAAGCACCCTTCCCTTTGATCGCCTTGATTCTTACCGTCATCAGACTTTCGTATCTCTTATACACCGCTTTCGCCGCCATCTCCTCCAGTACGGCGGCTGGTGTCGTCTCCATGGCGGGAGTCGATGATGACACCGCGTTCGCCGTTGCCATGAGACTTCAACTCAGTTTCAAGCTTGGTTATTATTTTCCCTCGATAAAAATCACGCCTTTATTACCACGCCATCTTCGTCTCCGTACCCCGGCGATCAACTGGCATTTAACCAGAAGAATCCCTCATAAGCTGACATGCTTCGAGTTCTTCGCCGCCGTCCATGCCGGACTCCGGCGCTCCTTCCTGTTCTCCGTTGCACGCTAATCCTCTCGGTGATGATGCGTATTGAAACTTTTTTTATTCGAAGAAGAGGAGGGGAAGAGGAAGAGTTGTTGGTATACGGCAGAAAGACGAGACGAGGAGGGCACGAGCTACTTCGGTCTCCGCAATGAACAGAGGACGAAAGAGTTATTTTCTATTCCAATCAAATAATTCTCACTTTTTGAGGTCGTCTTCAACAGTCGGAGCTTTTCGTAGAGGAAATGGGACTACCTTCTCTCGTGGCCTCGTGGGCTCGTCTCCCTCTCCTCACCTGATCTTCGTCGATCGTTGACCAACTGACAGTTTTGGTCCCTCTCTATTTCTTCTTGTAGCGTATCCTTGTAAATATACAGAGCACTGTACATATATAGGCCACTGCAAACATGCGGAGCCATTGGCATCTTTATACGGAATTTCATCACATTCATCACCATATGCGCATGTGCATGAACCCAAATTCCCCATCATGGGAGTCATAAGAGCCTACGGAGCTTTGAATAATTTCTATTTTTTTTATTAAACTCCATTAATGATTCTATTTATGAGCGTATATTCTCAGAAATTACAATAATCGTTTGATTAAATTCCAGATTAGTATTAATGCGAGTAATATGTACAAAAATACAGTACTTTCCATATTTCACTTCACAACCTCTCAAAAAATTGAGAAATTATTACATACGGTCATTGAATATTATTCGGATGTAAATCAGGATGGTCACATCACTATTTTGCTGTGTATCATAACTTTGTACCAGATGACATGATGCATTTTGATTCGTCTCCTCACGGTCCGGTGATCGCATGTAATAATTTCTCCAAAGAATTTGGGTCTTTATTCTTTGTACCATTGAGGGGTTTGTGAACTTATGATATTTTGCTTTTATGTATTTGAAATATAATTTAAATTAAATATATATAAAAAAGAATAAATAGGGTAGCTTTGATGTTACATAAGATTTGTACTACAACAACTATATTAAATTTTTTTTTTTCTATTATATAAGGTCGATTATATGAATATTTTTTTACATCATTATATTATATTAGAGTCTATTTCTCATTTAAATATAATAAATCAAAAGATTTTTTTATTATTTTTAACTAATTTTTAAGATCTATCTTTACCTTTCTTAATTTAGGTCTGATTTAAATAATTTACTCTTTTAATCTGGTAAGTGTAGGGCCAACAATTTATGTAACTAAATCATTTAAGCGAGTTTGTCTAATTTTTTTATCATTTCGTATTTTATCCTAAGTGTAAAAACTCTCACATCCTAAAAAGGTAAATAAAATAAATTTATTTTATTTTATTTTATTCAAATGATGATAACATAGCTAATTTAGTATGCACTTTGAGAGAATATTAAAAATATAATATATATTTTTAAATTTTTTGGCTTATGTATCTGTAGCTTGAGTGATTTAGTAAAATTTGGTGATATATAAATATGGCAGGGTAAATTATTAAATTATGTAATTTCGAATATCTTTCTTAGCAAGATTCTATGCCTGAAGATAGATGTGGAAATTCTAACATGCTCGCAATTCATTGAGTTGAAGCTAATTTTAAATTGATAAAACAAATTCAAAGTAGTAGGTCCTAACCAAGCTAATTTTTTTTTGCCTTTTTTAAAGCATGGTTAGGCTCGCTCTAAATTTAATTAGACTTAAGTTGAGTATATTTAATAGTATTTGATTTTATTATTAGTTAATATTTTTCCTGATAATTGAGATTGGATTAATGATTATGATAATTATTTTATATTTAATTATAATTTTGTAAGTAATATTTGCATATTAGTTATGTGGTAGTTCTTTGTAGAATATGTTTGTGTCGGTCAATTAAGTTGTTTTGTTTTAATTTTTCTAATAGTTGTGCACTAAAGGAAAATCATCCATTACCGGTAGATTTCAGATGAACTATTTTCTAGCAGCTTTTCTTGTGAAATTTCGATGGAATACGATGAAATATTTTTGATAATATTTTCAAGCAGATTTTCCAGCAGATGTTTTGGGAAGCCCGGGACAGGCTCGGGTAGGCGGCCTGGCAGTGCGGGGCGGGCTGGCAGTCTGGCAGCTTGGGCAGTGGGACGGGAGAACAACTCAGGCAGTGTGGCGAGCGAGTTGGTAGGAGTCCTAGCAGGTGATGGCTATTAGCTTCAACGAGCTTATTCCGCCCAAAAAAATTCACCGAAAAATTGTTTTTGATGGAGAAATTCTGTCGGAAAAATTTTCGGGCATATTTTTTTCGGCGGAGAGTTTTTGTTACGCTCGTTTTATCGTCGAAAAAATTTACGCCGTAAACTTTTCAAATATGCCTGAAACTTAAAAATTTTTCACCGAAAAATCCACCGATAATAGGTGATTTCCTATAGTGACGCAATCTATTGGAGGATTGATCTCTTTTATATCTATGTCAAAAGATGGTGGATGTGGGTGTGAAGCAAAGAAGAGAGTGTTGGCATGCAAGATTTGTATAATTTTTCAAAATTTTCTTAGTGAATTTCTTTATAAGTTTTTGGTCCTTTAATTTTTCAGTGTTTTTACAAGATAAACCCTATTTTTCTTTCTCCGCAATTTTGTTTTTTCAGTTTGTTTTGTCCCTTCTTTATTCCCACCAATGTTTTGGATAAATTAGACATATTTAAGATGATTTGAAATCTAGCTGTTAAGCAACTTAATTTTAAAAAATCGCCTATATTTATTTTACACTCATCTAAATACTTTTAAAAAGTATTATATTATATTTACATTATATTTTCGAATATTATTCTTAATATTCTAAAACCGTATCTCCAAATACCATCTCAATAATGTGACAATATATAATTTCAAGTTCTCTTTATTTTATAAAACAATTGAACAGTTTTGTTAATAATTATATAATACTTCATTTTTGCAAGAGAAATGCGGAAAGAAATTAGATCTTAATCAGATGAGCTCCAATTTAAATCCAATAATTTTTAAATTTATCCTACTTAAATGTTGATTAGTCTAAAATGTCCAAAATACCCATCATTCACATTCTAGCTTCGATGTGATACATAGAGATAATACAGATATTTGGATGGCTAAGCGAGCAATGAATGCTCGTTGTAAATTCGGGTCAACGGATCGGATTTGAATCTAACCTAAATTGATCAAGATGTAAACGGGTTGATCGAAACCCGACCCAGTTTTACAAATGAGTCAGGATTTTCAACCCGGACCTGATACACGCGGGTTACGGGTTGACCTGAACATACCCGCAAACCCTGAATATGGTTTAGGTTATGTGACTTCCGTCGAGGTCGATTGCTCCAGTGTGACAGTGCATGCCGTCCGTTGAGCACGAGTCGGCAAGGACGAATGGTCGGCGAGTGTGGGAGTCAGCAAGCGTCATCCTACGGGAGTGCCATCTGACCGGTCTGGACAAGTGCAGGAATCATCGAGTGTCATGCGTTGAGCATGAATCGACGAGTGCGAGAGTCGGGCAGTCGGTGATTTCCGTCTGACGACAGTCGCAACTAAGCAGGAGTCATTTAGTGCCAACAGTTAGCGGTAGTGGCGAGTGCTAGAGTCAGCGAGTTCCAGCAATCGACGGCAATAGGCAGCAGCGTAGTTGGAGAAGGTCGAAAGGCTGATAGCTGACTGCAGGTCAATTCGGGTGAAACCCGGGTTGACGGGTTGGCCCAAACATGACCCAAACTATAAACGGGTCCAAAAACAGAATATGAATCCAACCCGTTTCTTTATCGAGTCGATTCGAATCCAGATTTTTCGGGTCGAGTTTTTAGATCGTGTCAAATATTGACAACCCTCTTACCAACGTGTTAAAAAGAGAATTAGTCAATAATTGAGGGTTAATGGTGGGGTTAATCACCAAAAATGGGCCATTCCTGCCTTCCAAATTCTACTTTTTTACCCTTTACAGTGAATCCACAGGAGAAGGTACGCAAACAATTGGGGATGGGGAGCATTGTCTTCTATCGCATAAAGTTTGTGGGGGCGAGACCATTTCTGCACGATTTGTTAGGTCACCATTAGCGTTAGGTGTAGTGGTTTCGAGTGGGTCTGCTTAGCTTAGCTTTTGCTTAGGAATGTTTGATCAGTCATTGGTTGAAAGAAGAAATTGTGAATTAAGAGATCTTACCTTTTGACTAGAAAAAAAAAAGTATATAAAATGTTACATCACTAATAACTTTATAAAAATTTAGATGTATTGACATTGAGAGTTATACAACATAATTTTTTTTAATTGGATATAAATTTCGATTCATATTAGAATTATGAAATTTCAATATAGAATTCAAGAACATTTAAACATCAAATTTAAGCAACTTACAAATAAATTGAATGCCTTGACAAGATGAAGTCATAAATAGTAAGAGTTATTTGAGTTGAGTCTGAACGAGATCCTCCAATTATTATCACTTGATTACACTCTTCAAATAGTTATAACTTGATTATAATCCTCCGACTACAATTGTCCTAGTTATGACCTTCTGATTAACCTTGTTGGACTTAGTCTCCTGAACATTATTGCTAACTTTAGCCTTTTAGCGACCATCACCCTTTTCAATTTTTTCAATCACTGTCGCCAAACAATGGCCTTATAACCATCATCTCCTATCTATGACTTATTGGACACCATATGTCCCTCGGACCACCATCATCTAACTATAGTCTCTCAGCCATCAAACCCAACTTTGATCCTCTGATCACAATCACCTAACTTTGATCCTCTGACCACCATAGCTGACAACCGTCTAACCACCATCGCCTAATTATAATTGCTAGACCTCTGTTTCCCAATCATGATCTCTAGGCCATCATCACTTGATTAATAATCATTCAATCACTATTGTTTGATTATGATTCCCTAAGTGTCATCATTTAACTATGGTCGTCTGACAATAATCCTCCAAACAAGCATCGCCATACCAAAATTTCTTGACAATTAACTTTCTACTACGGTCTTCCAACCACCATCTCCCAATTATGGTCTCCTAACCACCATGATTCGACCCAGTCCTCCAATTATCAATACTTGATTGCATAGGCGGATCCACCCTATGCTGAGGGGGGCCCCCTGAAAAAAAAAATTATTATATGATTATTTAAGTAATTTGTCCCACTCCATTTACTTTTTAGTCTTATCATATGGATTTGTAGGCAATTGCCCCCTCCCCCCTAAAAGTTTTAAAATACTATGATCTTTAGGCAATTGCCCCTAGCATAATCAAACGACGAACCAAATACAAAGATAAATAGTAAAGAAAATCTAAAAAATATCCTTACAACCAAAATTTGTTCCCACAAGGGGGCGCTGCCCCCTTAGATCCCCGACATATTTGCGAAATGTACAATGATCAAGGATATGAACAAATAGGGGTCGAGCCGACTTCAAGACAAAAAAAAACTCTACACTTTTTGCCCCCCCCCCCCCCCCCCAACCCTAAACCC